TCCAAGCCATCGCTGCCCGCCCGCCCGAAGATGCAAGGGGGGAGGGAATTAAGTCACCCCCGAAAAGACGGCCTAGCCATTTTTTCGGGGCTCAAAAAAAAAAAAAAAAAGGACCCGGCCTTATTATATGAGAAACACGGTACCTAACAATTACAAGTGTTAGAATTTTTTTAAAAGAATGCTTAAAATAAATTAAGAGAGAAAGCTTGCCCACTGAGATGACAGGTTGTCAACAAGGAGTGCACACAATTGGCGATGAAGGAACCTTATGTTGGCTGTGAAGCTTCTGCTCTTTGGTGAAAGGATTCCCAGAGGATTCCCTCTTCTGCCTTCCATTTTACAAGACAAAAATCAGATGAGATGCTTAGAACACCCTATTCCCTACCCTCTTCCAGGGAAGTCTGGAATTCCTCTGAAATCTATAGATGCTACAGGCAAAAAAGGGTGGATATTTTAGTGTACGGACTCAGTTCCTGTTGTGTCTTTGAGCTGTGTGGCATCCCAAAGAGTCATCTCTAACCATCTGCAGTGTCCACGTTCTATGGCGGCTTCAGAGAATCCCCAAACTGAGTAAGAGAACTCTCCAGGCAGATTATTAATATTAATTTTATTTATTTATATAACTTTATTTGCCGCCTATTTCGTCATGGGGCTACTCTAGGCGGCTTACAATAATAAAAAGAAAAGTAGTGTAATCAGAAATAAAATAATAGAACCACAAAAGGACAAAGAAAAAGAACACACAGAGACTAATCAGTAGGACCAAAAAGATGGACAGGTGGAGAGCAGAGTGTTGGAGGAAGGGGGAGTCTGCTGTCAATCTAGCAGCCACCTCCAGCATGGCCCCCAGGCCAACTTTAGGTTCTTGGGGAAGGATCTTGCCTTAGCAGAAGTGTCCAACCTTGGCTACTTTAAGACTTGTGGACTTCAACTCCCAGAATTCCTCAGCCAGCTTTGCTGGCTGAGGAACTCTGGGAGTTGAAGTCCACAAGTCTTAAAGTTGCCAAGGTTGGACACCCCTGCCTTAAAGGATAAGATGGTTCAAAATCCATATCCCATAGCCAGGCCTGAATCCTGACTGAAAGGGGTCCAGGAAATCTGTTTCATCCAGGTTCCCTACAGCTGCCAAGCAACCACCTCTTCCACCACCTTCCTCAAAAAAGGAAGATGGGATGAAAGTTGTCCAGGCAGTGGGGTCAAGTGATGTTTTTTTTTAAGGAGGGGAAAACCAGGGGTCTTTAAAAGGCCCTGGGAATGTCCCCTCACCTACTGAGGAATTTATCACTGCATGAACCTACCTGGCAGTCACTGCCTTGGAGGCTTTCATCAGCCAGGAATGACAGGTGACAGCACAGAGGACACTGTCCACTTTCCTAGGTCCAACTGGGGCAAACGTGTTTCCAAATTGCTGGGCAAGTTGTCTTCCTAGGCATCTCATAAGGACTAGCACCATGCAAAATTGTAACTGAGAGTAAATTCCGAGTGATTGTATCCAACTGGTGTTCAACAAATTCTTCTGCACAGCCCCTGAAGATGATTGTCCGAATTCCCCTAGGGTAGGAGGGATTGGGTGAGCCAGAACAAGGCTGGTGGGTTAGGGTTAGGCTGATGGGTGACACTGCCCTGATGAACTTGCAGCCTGAAATTAAGCATGTAGAGGATGTGAAAGGGAGGCAGGGTCCAAGAAAGGGAACACCTGAGTTTCACTTCTTTGCGGTTTTTAATAAAATCTACTTGCTCTGATTTCTTGGAGATAAAAATGACCCATACGTTTGTTAAGTCAACTGGTATTAATGGTGTATAGTAATCCCATTAATTTGATGTGTAAATAAATATTTCTAAGATCAGCAGGATTCTGGCAGCTTGTTTTTTTTTTTTAATCTCAGAGCCCAGAGCAGCTGGAAATGTGCAAGTTTGAGATCAAGAGGGAAACAGCACCAGAGTTCTAGAGTTTACTTCCCTTGAGAGCTTTCCTTAGGCCCCAGTCCCACCTAAGTCCAAATAATGTTAAGGGTCTGGGATTCCCCCAACTTCTGCCTTCCACATTCACTGGGGCTGCAAGTCAATCTTTGACCATACAGGCTTGGCTTCTAAGAGCTGCAGTTCCAACGTACTGAGAGATTCTCCATATACACAGTTGTGGGATAAACACATGACTACCAATACGCTGCATGATTTTAAGTCAGCTCTTATTTCATTATATGGCTCATGTATTAGTTGGTTATTTAAGAGACACATTTAAGCAGCTTAAAAATATATTTCTGGGAATCCATTGGAAGATTGCAAAAAAAGTAATGTTAATATCAGTGATTTTTAATAATTGATAGGTATCTTTAACATTAATAACATCAAGCAATGTTTTCTTCCAATTATCATTACACCACATAAAACTGCATAAAATTATGCTGTCATCAAGAAGGTTAGCATTGCTTGCTTGCAAACATTATCCCACTCATATTGAATCACTACATTTATGGAATTTACACATAATTACAGCTCTTGGAACTCCAAAGTTAAAAGGCTAAATTATAGAGCAGATAAAAATCTCATCCTTAAATGCATAGAAAACAGAGCGGCTACATGGCCTTTTCCTTCACCAGAGGTACACTGAATTATCCCATTTGTATTACAACTTTATTTGGTCAAAGCACGTACACAATTATTGTCAGGGGCTTAATTCAGGCCTTATCGTTCTTCCGACCCATTGGAAGGGGTTGAACCCAAATTTCTAACGGCTTTATTCCAAACAGCCCCGTGTGTCTTAATATAGTATTAAAAAAAGAAACAGGAGTGTGATTTTCATAACAACACATCCCCTTTAATAAAATGTATACATTTTAAGCGGTTGCCAGATTCCTTCTGACTTTTCTTTTTACCCAATGGGCTTGTCTCTTCTACAATGTCTTAGAGAGTAAGAGAGAGGGGAAGATCGATCAAAGCTGAAAAGCTACACGGAGCCTGGGCTCTCTCCTCTTTATAAACAATTATGGGTCGATATGGGCTCAGGAAGAATTGAAACCCTGAGGTTTTTCTAGGGAAGGTCTTTTTAATGATGAGCTAATGACCAAGCAAGTAATATGTCCACGATCTGAAAGACGAGTGGATCAATGTGCCATGTTTTTCTGAGTAGTCAGGTCCTTTCTTTAGTCTAGCAAGGCAACTGGCACATATAACTGACCCTAAACTCCGAAGAGTGCTCACCTGAACTAGCCTCAATGTCTCTTCCCTAAGGTAGTTCTTGAAGGCGGATACAAAATCCAACTCCTGACACTGCCAAGAGCCAAGACGATGCCTTGCGAAGAAGTCCCTATTTCTCTCTCTCTAAAGAATGCATTCTTGATGCTTCGTGTCTTTGTTCTCACACAAGCAACCTAGGAAGAACTCTTAAACAATCTTCTCTTTTGGGGACTTTTAAAATAAGTAAGCTCTAAAGCAGGGCTGTCCAACCTTGGCCCCTTGAAGCCTGGCGGACTTCAACTCCCAGAATTCCCCAGCCAGC